AGTCAGTCTATCTATTTGTATGGCTAGCTGGCTGGCTGTCTCTCTCTCTGTCTGTCTGTCTGTCTGTCTAACCCTCTGTCTCTCTGTCTACTCGTGCCTTCCCCTTCAAGTTGAATGTAAGAACTTGCAGGCCGCCCAGTATCATGGCAATAAGTACGTGCAATGCGCAGTACATCACCTCACCATATTCTTTGTCGGTCTCTTCAATGCTGCAGTGGATATCGATTTCTCCTATATGTATATCACCGAACACAGACCGGTTCGTAAGTAAATGCCCAATCCACTTTAACAGATGGGCGGGGGCAAAGAACCACCGTGCATCTCTTTTTTCGAAAGTAATGTGCTCACTGCAGTGGGCTCGCGATTATCGTTGACTTCCTTCGGCAGCGTTCAGACTTCGCGACGGCAGCGCTTCGGTCGCGCGTTCGACGCGATCGATGCAGTTGAAAGCATGCGCATCGATCGCGTCGAACGCGCGACCGAAGCGCTGCCGTCGCGAAGTCTGAACGCTGCCTAACACATTACTCATGCAGTGATTAGGAATTTGATTCTTTCAGCCAAATATCACAGCAGCAATGATTGTGTTCCTTCTCAGTATACACATGGTATTAGTGATAATTTTCGGTTTAAATCAGCAGGTTATGGATTTCGATCGGGTGAGTAAGGAGCGGCCTTACACTCATACCTCCCACGTAATGGCACTGTTCTGCCAGAAATTGTGGTCCTGCCGCGAGATAGCTCCCCTCTTGGGGGTCTACGCTCAGTTTCCTAGGCATTCACAAATGTCGACACCCTCAATTTATTTGTTTGTACCCAAATCCTTTCTTATCGTCCCAGATATTTACTATTTGCCTCGACTGAGGTTGGCCTTCCAGGGAGACCAATAAGATGACGCTCCCCACCACACCATCCTTGAAAGCACCCGACGCTGGGAAAACTGAGAGTTCGCTTCTACGCCTACTCTCCCCATCTATACATACATATTACGATCAGGGCACATCATTGGTCCCTTTTTTGAGGAGGTTAGTACGACCCACCCCCGCTTCCCCATTCTACCCACCAATTTCTTCGATTTCCACAAGTCTTTCAGTTTCTCCGCCCAAAAATTTTGCTGCAGAGCGGGGGGGGGGGTGGTATGGTACATATGAAACAGGAAAACCCACAAAAGCTCACAACCTCTCCAGAAAGCCTAAGCCAAATACGACCCCCTCCCAACAATGAGCAAACACCACCCTCTCCCTTAATAGCGTCCCTGATACAAGAAAATCAACTATCACGAAGAATATTTTCTCGGACCAAATACGCCCTCCCTCCCCCAGCGACCGAATGCGACCCCGCCCCTGTTGAGGAATCCCCAAAAACGATGTGGATAGAAAGATACTCGTTTCTAGTGGAATATGCGTTAATCAACCGTACAGCACTCTCACAGCATCAAACTTCATTCTGGTAACTAACCCAAGCCGTCGTTCCTCTCATTGGCGCCACCCCCCTTCACATATCCCGCCCATGGCGCTACCCAGTCATGATACCAGAAGACTCGCCAAAGAACGTAAGCAGGGTCATTTTTGTCAGTAAGAATTTATCTATGATCACTTACGGCTCCCTCACCGACCACAACTTCACTGCCTAGTGATCTCGTCCAGTCCCCTTTCTCGCCCTCTGCTCGTATGAATGCGTTACCTGAGCGGTTTTATTTGAGCCTTTGGTGACGAAATTTTCTGTTTCGTCCTCCACCATTGATTTTCTTGGCATCATAGCGTCCCTTTTTGAGCCCCACAACCCATAATATCTTGTTGCGGGCCTTGCTTTTAAACAATAAAAGGATGAAACAACTTGTAAAGGAACAGGAAGACATGGTTGTTGCCTCAGGTACTATCGGTGAGCATGTTCCAATTAGCTGCTTTCAGGGCCTTTTATACAACATGGCCGATAATAATCCTGGGGACCTATATTACTATATAGTTATGGTAGAGACTGGCTATCGCATGTCGGCCAGTACTGATTCGAAGGTATGCTAATTTAGCAGAAAGTTCAAAAGCACAATCCACGCTGATCATATGGGCGGAGCCAGGCCCACTACCATTTCCTCTTCAGTTAGGTTAGTTATATGACATACATACGACCACGGATCCCGCGGCCAGCTGGTGTACAGGTGCCGATCCAGAATTTGACTTCCGGATCGCGTCTTGGCCGTAGAAGGAACGCTTGGTAGAACGAACACAGTTACGGATGATGAGGGGCGCTGGTGGAAGATACTGGCACAGGCCTGACTCCGCCCCTGTGGTCAGCGTGGACTGTGCCTTCAAAATATGGACTAATCGGCACTGTTAAATTTTAGGTCTTCATTACTCTATACGGAAGTAATGCCGACGAAGTGTCACGCGAACTCAGGACCGAACACATAAAAAAGAACTCGTTGATTTTCAACTGGGGCACTTCAGCTCGTTTTCTGTTGAGAACGCCATGGTCAGTGACTTTATTGAACGGAGCAAAGGTAGCTGGGAGGAGGGCAATGGCAATGGACCGAGACCGGGTTTTTCTTCTTATCTGCGCTCCCAAAGACGTCAGTTAAAGGCAGTTCCTGCAATGAAGTGGTCCGTGAAACGCCTCCGTGCATTTGGCATCATTGTTCGCATTTTTAGAGGATATACCACATTCATCACTCAAATGGCGAGATCAAGAAGCTAAAGACGCGTGATTGTAGCAACCATTGCACGATTACTTTCACACTGCAAGACACCGCCTTACAACTGGAATTGCCTGTGTACATAGCGTTGTCTGGAGCGTCGTAGGATGATTTCCTATGCTCTTGCCGGGAAATGATGCACTTCAAGTGCTGGGCTTGCCAACGTCCACAAACTCGTCCAAGGCGCAATATGCTAAAGGAGGGGGGGGGTGGTCACTGTTCAGGGTGTTCCCAAGATTTTTTGTTTCGCTCCTTCCTTTACTGGGGAGTCTCTTATAGGCTCTTGGTTCATGATTGAGCACGTACTACCCGTAACACTTGATGGCGGGACTTGTCCTTAAACTGATTGAAAGATATGTCTTGAACAATGCGTCAACGATGGCGAAGGAGCAGTGAACTTGTTCCTTCCAGTCTTCCCCCCATCCCTTCCGCCACCTTCTTAACAATCGAAATCGCAGAGTACATTTAGAAACGGATAACACTATTTAACAGGAGCCTCGGGGAGCTACGCTATGTGAGGATTTGGGTAGACAACTCCGGTCGAGGAGATCGCGGATCGTGGTACTGTAATCGGATCATCATCAAGGATTTACATACAGGAAAGGTCTACCGATTTCCAATCCATGATTGGTTAGGGATGTCAGTGGGAGATTGTGAGGTGGGTCGTGGTCTACTATGATTTTGATTCAAGTGAGGTTGGCAGAATGACGGAAATTTAGTCAGAAAGATTGGCAGCAGTTGATAACAAGATAATTATGAAGAATGAAGTGATGAGCATTCACATTCTTGCGGAGACGATTTCTTATATAGCCATGTACACAGGTGCGTTACAAGTGCAATCCCTATGAGTTTCTATTATTTCTAAGGTCGCCCTTATATCTCGCAACCCATGCGATTCACTCGCGCGACTGCGACTGGCCGCGCTCCTCCGTTAATTGTGGGATCGCTCAACTCTTGATTAGTTTAGCAACTGCAGCTGTCCGACGACGATGAAGTTGGGAGTTGCAGCGGTCAGTGGCAGTCGTGGGAATGAATCGCTGATGTCGCGAAGTATGAACGCAGCCCAGCGTACCTAAAGAAGACGCCACCCTCTGTATATGGTGTTCGTGTCCACGGCAGAATTTATTCGTGTTCATACTCGGCGACTTAAGCGATTTGCGCGCGACTGTGGACCACTAGGTCCACGAAGTACAAGAATGAAGTCAACCAGAGCTGGATTGAAAGCACTCGCAGTGAGCTCGGGAGCGCGGTCCATCACATACCGTATGGCTGGGGATGCGGAGTATGAACACAGCCTAACATGGCATTTCCGTCGCGTGAAAGGGCGTGGCAATGACATCAGAGAAGAGAGAGGTGTAGGCTCTTCATCTTAGTTCTCTGGTCCTGCCCTTTCTAAAGCGGCGTGTGAGGGTTCGGTTGACTCCTAGGCCTTTTCTGGTACTATGACAAGACATTAGTAATTTGCCGCACTGGTGGGTTTGGTGAACGATGCTGCGTCCGACGGACGAGCTGTCATGCCGACTACTTGAATATCTGTATCAAAAGGACTGGGAAG